GAACAGGCATGGATGGGTTGCAGTTACCATCTTTGGGAGAGAGTATCTACCTCCTATAACCTGCATCTTCACCTTGGTGAACACCATGTAGCTATATCATTGTTCTTATCATCACCCACACATATTCCACCTCTGCCACCCAAAATTTCGAAATTTCTCTATGACCATAACCTCCTTGTCTTGTATCATTATTGTTCTGGCCTCACATGCTTCCCTTTAAAATCATGCTATAGTTAATTAAGATGTGGGTCTTTTCCTTGCCGATGCTAACCCTATTCCTTGTATCTTTGATCTCATCTCCTTCCATCTCCTTTGGGAGCTTTCACCTTTTTTCATCACTGCCATCTTTCTAATCTTGATATACACTTTTTATTCACTGACTCCTTGCCTTAACTGCACACTTGCTCAGTTGTCCTCCAGCCTTTAAAAAAAAAAAATTTGTACTTGGCTCTGCTGTCCCCTCAAACTATTACTTTATACATCTTGTCTATTTTGAAAAAAAAAAAAGTTTAACTGATATCCAGCTTAGAAATAAATGGAACAAAAATGCATTTAAAAAATTTTTTTAATTGAAATGCATTCTAGGAGTGCTCCATCTTAATTAGATGGCTGAATGTTTTTATGAACTTAATCAGATCTAACAAATATATATCTCCAAAAGCTAACAATCAGCTCCTAGAAGAAGCTTTTTATATATCTTTATAACCCACTCATTTTTCCATTCTCTTACTGCTGATCTTACTAGTGAGCCTAACCTGTTTTCACTGAGGATACTGGAAATCTTTTAATCTCTAAACCCTGTGCCCCCTTCTTAGTCTTCTCATCCTTCTTTACCTTTCTGCTGTGTATGATGGTCTTCTCCTTTTGGATACTCTCTTTTCCCTGGGTTTTCTTAACATTACTCTCAATCAACAAACATTACATTAAGTACTTATGTGTTGGGTACTGTGTGAGGAGCTGGAGATAGGGGTATAAAGAATAAAACAATTCCTACTAGCAAGGAATATATTCTAATGGGAAAGACAGCACATATATATATAAATTCATACAGCATATATATAAAATGAATAAATCCAAGCATATACAAAATCGTTAAGTGCAGGGTAGTTTGGAGGGGGAGGGCAATATCATGTTTGAGGGAATCTAGAAAGGTGTCTAAATGCAGAAGATAATGCTTCTTAAATAGGAGATAGACTGAAGAGAGAACTTAAAGAAGGACATTTCAGGAATGTTGGACCTTTTTTCCTTGTAGTGCTCTTACTTCATTGATTTTATCAGTTCCCATTAGTCCATTTATCAATTCTGCTCAGATGATTCCCCAGACCTATATATATCCAGGCCTCATATTCCTCCTTAAGCTCCAGTCTCACATCAGCAGCTGCCTGCTGGACATTTTCATTTTGTGCTCTCATAAGGATCTTAAACTCATTATCTTCTCTCCAAAACCCACCTGTCTTTTTTACTTAACATCTATCTATGGTGGGTACCACCGCCATCCTATTCATTCTGGTTTGCTACCCTGGAGTGATCCCATTCCACTTGTTCTTAATCTCTTTTGTATCATAGACCTTTTTGGCAGTCTGATGAAGCTTATGGACTGTTTCTCAGGGTGTTTTTAAATGGACAAAATAAATCGGGAATAAGCATTTATATAGTGCCTACTATATGCTAGTCACTGTGTTTAAGCACTTTTACCAGTATCCCATTTGATCCTCATGACAGCCCTCCTTTATTAATATCCTCATTTTACAGTTGAGGAAACTGAGGCAAACAGAAGTTGAGTAACTTGCCCAGGGTTACACATCTAGTAAGTCTGAGGCTAGATTTGAACTTAGGTCTTCCTGACTTTAGGTCTAGTGCTCTATCTACTGAGCCAACAGCTGCCTAGTATTACAAAGAAAATTAATTATATTAAATATAGATGGGTTTTTCCCCTTCCTTAGGTCAGGGACCCCTTGAAATCTGTATATAGATCCCAGGTTGAGAATTTCCTGCCCTATGTTATTTAGTCTTAACCTCCACATCTAATCATTTTCCAAGTTTTAAAATTCTATCTCCGTAACATGTTTACTTCTGTACGATCACTAATCTAGTTCAGAATTTCCCCATCTCTGTTGGACTATTGCTCCTAATTGGTTTTCCTTGTCTCTCCAGTCTATCCTTCCATACAACTAACAAACTGATATTCATACTAACGCACAGTTTTGACAGTGCCACTCCCTTATTTGCTACTAGGATCTCATACAAATTCTTTTTGTTCCTTAGGACTTTTCATAATCCATCTCTAGCCTACCTTTTAAGACATTTAACATTATTCCTATTCACATACCCTGTTTTGGCAAGAGCGTCCTGTTTTCTCTTTCTCAGACGCAACATTCTGTTGTCTGTTTCTGCTTTTGCACAGGCTGTCCTCCATGATTATAATGCATTTCATTTTCTCCTTCACCTTTTAGAATCCCTACCTTCAAAGCTCATTTCATAGCCCTCCTTAAACATGAAGCCTTTCCTGATCCCCCTAGCTTTTAGTGCCTTTCGTACTTTCATAATACTTTGTATTTGCTTTGCACTTTATATATATATGTTTTATATATGCTTCTCTGTGTGTATGTTCCAGTGTTCTTTACACTCTACTAATATACTCATTGAATTAAATGAATGAATTGCATGTGATCACAGATCCATCAAAATACTGACATATCATTGTGACTTCTTTGAAATGTACTATACCCATTTTGGTGTATTGAGTGTATTCATGTTTTTAACTTCTTCTGTTTTTATAGTTGAATTTTGTATATCTTTATCTGGAATATTCACATAACTATGATAAATTTTATTATGTTAATGGTAAATAAAAGCAGTTTTGGAAGAATTACTTTTTTTCAGCCCAAGAAAATGCTATTCAGTGAAATATTATTCCAGTACAATAAATCATATGCTTATAATCTGAGTTTATGTCCCACAGAATGGGAAATAATTGTTTTCTGCTCATAATGGACAAGATTGAGAATCTTGAAAGATTAAAATTGATTTAATGATAGAATGCCATTAAAAGCATTTCATGTCTATTTTAATGCAAAATAAGTTTTTTCATGCTGGCTCTTTATCACATCCTCTTCCCTCTGAAACAGGACATTTCTGGCTGTTTGCTAAGTATTCACTTCGTCATTAATTTTCTCTTTGGCATATATTTTAATGAAAGGAACTTGAAGAGAGAGACTAGATTTTAGTTACTTTATTTTTGCTTTTACATCAATAACTTTGCTTTTTTCCTTTTGATTTTTTTCATCCTATTGCTGTGGGATCTGCTATTTCCAATAATCTGTCACCTCATTAACTATATAGTTTCCTTTGTTTTATAAAACTAATGTTCTTTACAGTTTAAATTTCTTGGACCTTTACACGAATAACTTTGCTTTTTTCCTTTTAATTTTTTTCATCCTATTGCTATGGGATCTGCTATTTCCAATAATCTGTCACCTCATTAACTATGTAGTTTCCTTTGTTTTATAAAACTAATGTTCTTTACAGTTTAAATTTTACAAAGATACCAAGTTTAATTTGAAAGGTTCACTTTCAACTTCATGAAAAAAAAAGTCTAACATATCCAACTCTTATAGAAGTTAAGGAATTATCCGCTCTTCTAGTATTAAAAATAGCAACTTGACATGAATTTCTCTTCAGAAGTATGGAAACACTACTTTTTCAGTGCTGGCTGTGTTGTAAAGAAAGATGTTATGAAATGAGCTTCAATTTTTTTGAAAACATTGTGATGGAAAAACAATAACTCTTCATTGGGTGTTGATGCAAAGATATATACGTATCCTTTTCATTTTGTTGCCTTAAAGGGACTGTATGACGTGTTGAAATCCAAGTATGTCCAAATTGACATAAATCTTACAATATTTTTATAGACTCTTGAAGGTTATCTAGTCCAGCACCTTCTTTTTATAGATGATGAAGTTAATGACATAAGAATTAAGTATCGTCCAAGGTCAAAAATGGTTAGTGGCAGAATGGGAATTAGAACCCAGGTTTCCTGAACTGCCAGTTCACTACAGCATACTGCTTTCTCCAGACTAAAATAGGGAAAGGGCATAAAGGAATATTATCTATGACTAGGAAAATTAAGGCTGTCTGTAATTAGGGCTTTAAATAATAATTGAAAATATACTCCATTAGTATTGTACTTTATTAGTCTACTGATACTTTGTGCCAGCCATGAAATTATCCTAGCTATGATATTGGTAAGTATGGGAAAGAATGTTCCAATAAATGGGAAGGGAGAAACCTACTTAAAAGGCTTCATTTATTTTTTATTTTTTTTTCTAATTTTAATCAGTTGTTTTAATAGTGAGGTGGTAGAACAAATGGAACTCCTTTATCCTCAGTGGTATGTTATATAGCATATCCCAAAAGTCTTAGTCCAATTTCAACCTTTTCAAGCTTCAAAGCTTGAAACTGCACTAAAGACTTTTGGGATTCTCTGTATTGACAGTGGTATTTAGATATTGGATGAAAACCACTATTAATGCTTATGAAGAGTTCTTTTGTTGTTGTTATTAAGTGGAGGAGCTTGCTTTTTCTATGTTTATTATTGATTACATTTAATGTTTTATAAGTAGAACTAAAAAATCTATTTAGAAAGTTTTAAGATGAAGTCACAAAATATAACTGTGTGTATATACATATTTGTGTGTATATGTTGTGTTATTTATATGTATAAAAATAAAAGAGTTATGATGAACTTCTTTCTGTAAATCTTGCAAGTATTTGAGAAAAGTCTTTTTGTCCTGTATTATAAGCAGTCCTATCTAGAAGCAAGGAGAGATAGATTAAATATTTTTAAATCCTGTTCAGTGCTTTGCTTGCTGTTGGTTCAAATAAATATTTATTAAGCATCTATTACATATACTGGCAAAATAGAATATTATCTGAAAATCCTTGGTTTCACTCAAGAGGAAGATATATGTGAATGGTGTTTTTTTTTTCCTTCTTTTTAGAAGACTACTGAAGCAAATCAGAGTGATACAAGTATCTCCTCATCAGAAATAAAAACCAAAGGTCTTCATCTCTTAGCCAGTGAAACAAAACTTGGTTCTTCCTTAAATAATAGGGCTTTGGATGGCAAAGACACAGCTGGTCGATGTTCCCATGAAGATGACGTGGATGGCGATTCCTTCTTTGATGATCCCATTCCTAAGCCAGAAAAAAGTTATGGTTGGTGAGTGAATCTTGCCTTGTGTATAAATTACCACGTTTGCCTTCTAAATATTTGGTTTCATAGTTTAAGGAAATTCCTTAACTATTTTCAGGTTTGTAGACTAATTTATAACATGAATCTTAGACATTTAAAAAATGACTTTAATGGATGGAAAATTTCTACATAAAGAAATTAAATTTTACATTAATATCAGACCAGAATATACTTTGCTTTTTAGCATAATTTCTCCTTTTTCATATGTTCTGTAATTCTCCTTTATCCTTTCACTCTTACTAGTTATAGCCCAATAGCTGGTACCCTCTGGCCACAAAACAGACTGGTGTATAAATATTAATCCTATAAGAGTATTATTGACCAAACACACCTCCCACGTCTATTTTGGTACCAAAATTTTAACCATTACTATCTCATGCCTTTTTGTACATTTTTAAATCAGTACTGAGGGACAATGCCAAAATGTTCAGGCTTTAGCCTCTGGAGTTGGCATCCCGGTGTGTGTGTGGTCACAGGTTAGTTAGTACTTTGACACACACTAGAGACTATGCAGAGGAGTGGGTACATTATTTACTCCTTACCTGAGAATGGGTAAAAAGGATGCTACCCTTTCCCATTCTCCATACAAGTACTACCAAAAATTTTGTTTGTATAAGAGTGACTTATATTGTCACCTTTGTTATGTTAAAAGCAATAAAATGACTTCCTAACAGGCCATGAGAAATGGGAGCCCTCTAATCTGGCATTTGACTTTTTTTCCCTCCAGATTGCTTACTTCTTTGTGTAATACTTTTCATACGTTGTATTGCCATGGTGCATTTTTGTTTTGAAAGAATAATGTTTTTTTTAGGATTTCATTAGAAATTGGTAAAATTGAAGTTGAAAAAAAATGAACACTTATTCATGTCTTTGTAAGTATTATGGCATATAAGAAATAATAGATAAAATATATATAATCTTAAGTTATTTTCTTTGCCTAGATCACATGATGACAACCACTTGAGCTTTCTATCAGTGTAAATAAATATTTTTCTTTTTTTACTCAATGTTTGACTTTTAGGTAGATATAAAGATTATAATGCAACCAGAGGGCAAGAAATTTGTTTTTTTACTGACCTCTATATTTAGTACAATACCACAGGAAAAAGATATATAGGCTTTTAGTGCCAGCCATGACACTGAGAAGCGAAACAGAGTTCTAAGAAAACAAAATTCTAATGAATTAGAGAAAAATATATTATACCACTTTCCCCTTTCTAATTCATTCTTCATTATCTCTTGTTTGTTAGTTTTTCAGACAGTACTACTCACTTTATTCTGTTAGCTGTTTGCCAGTAGGAATACTTATTCTTATGTAAATCTTTTTCTCCTGCCTGCCATTTCTTAATGTGGGGTGAAAAAGGGCTTCTGATAAAAACAGTGACACAGAAGATGACATAGAAGATTTGTTTGATATAACAGATATCAAACAAAACTCTAAAAAGAGGTGAGGAGGTAATTTCTTATTAAATATCTTGTGCATGAATTTGTTATTGTTTTCTTCCTGTTTTTCTAGTAGACATACCTACTCTAGTCTAGTAGTCTAGGAGTCTGTGATTTGCATAGTAAAGTTTCTACATTTTCTGTGTATAAACATGATTTGAGTAGCTTAGGTTACATATGGTGAAAGAAAGAATATATTATAAACTGTAAGTTATATATTTGTTTTCCTAATTAGGAAAAGTGAATCAAGCAAGCAAGTAGGAAGCCTTGCATCACTTTCTGATGCACCACCATTAAAAAGTGGACTTAGCTCCTTGACTGGAACACGTTTACTAAAAGAATCTGAAAGTAAGTACCTCAAAAGTTGCCAAAACCCACAAGTTCCTATAATGTGGCTTTGGTTTGTTTTGACAGTGGAAGGAGTGCTAGATTTAGTGTCAGAAGATCTGGGTTTGCATCCTGCCTCTCACATTCTGGCCATGAGCAAGTGAACTCAACTCTGAATGTCAGTTTCCTCATTTGCAATACAAAAATGAAAACATTCTCCTTGCTTGCCTTACTGAGATGTTGTGAAGATCAAATGCAGTAATGTTTGTAAGGTTGTCTGAAGACTTTAAAAATACTGTAGATTATTGTTGTTATTATTTGGAGTGACTCTTTTTTATATTTTTTTCTATTGTTATTGAGTCCTTGTTAGGTTTAGATTTTGATGCTGTTTTAAGGTTTGTGAAGTACATATAATCCTAGCTAGTAATCACTATAGGAAGATTATTAATAACTAGAATTTATATAGTGCTTTAAGGTTTGCAAAGCATTTTGCAAATATTATCTCATTTGACCTTCACAACCACCTGGGAGGTCCTATTATTATTCTCCAATTTACAGATGAGGGCACTGAGACAGACAAAAATTAATTGTATTGTCCATGATTGTATAGCTACTACATGGGTCCTTCACGAACTTAGTCAGATTTGAGGACACAACGCTCTACAGAGAGTGCATTAATATAGTCTTCATGTAAAGAAAAGACCTGCATGTATTGAGAATGCATGATATACTTTATTAATGTTCTCCGTATGTAAGAAAAAATAGGGTTAAAGAATGAACCTTTGATTTCATTGGTATAAGGAACTCATGGATGTGGAATTATCCCTTTGCCAGTGCCATTTGGTACCTTCTCTGCAACTTTGAGTCTTAGAGAGTTGCCTGGAAATGTCAAACTCAGGTCTGGCAGGCAAAACTCCATAGTGCACAGAACTAGATTAAAATGTAATTGGGAAATGTTTAACTGAATAAATAAAAATGCAGTGCAACAATGATAATGTTCATTTGTGTTTTTCTAAGTCAGTATATATCCCTTAGGGATCTGTTTCCATTTGAGTCTGGCACTGCTGGCCTACTACACTACTGAGGAGTTGTGACTTACCTAGGTTACACAGCTAGTTGGTGTCAGAGGGGAGACTTGAATCCTGGTCTTTCTAGCTTATGGGGTTAGCTTTCTCTCCATTGCACCATGTTTCCTCAAGAGTGAGAGAGAATAATATATCATTCAACTTGAAGTATCAATTACAAGTAATCTAGTACAGTGTTTCCTCACTTCCAGTTTATTACTCAACCGTGAACTTAGTATGCACACTATTAGGGTTCTATGGCACGCTCCGTCATGCACAGATCAAGCCATCTACAGATGTTCTCACATAACATTCATCCCCAGTCATACCCTATACACATGTGTCAGCTCCTATACCTTTCCCATTCTGATTATCCTCATAGCTTACTGATTTGGAAGCAGTGATCTCTAGTACACTAAGGGTAGATTCGGGTGGGGGGCAGTGGGTCGTTGAAGGCAAATACTTAAGAAATAAAGAATGTGTATACTAGTGAACAAGTATGGAATAAGAGAGCCAGATTATAGAAAGAAATGAGGACAGAGGGGAGAAAATAGAATGAAGGAAACTTTTGGAATGTTAGCTTGAGGGTTTTGCATCCAGTAAAAAGTTGCTATGGTGTTTCGTAGATGAGGATAATATAGTTGGAAATAGTGAGGACAAAGCATTTCATTGATATTATTTTAGTTGCTGAGGAATGTCGCATAATCAGATAGTGTTTTGTAGATAATCAGACTGTTGACCAGACCTTAGTGATCTTCAGCCAGTATTTTTTATATCATTATGCTTATATCATGTAAACAGTTTTTGTTTGTCGATGCAATTTTTGTTTTGTTTTGTTTTGCTAGGCAATGGGGTTAAATGACTTGCCCAGGGTCACACAGCTAGTAAGTGTCAAGTGTCTGAGGCCAGATTTGAACTCCTGGATTTGGGGTCCTCCTGACCCTAGGGCTGGTACTCTATCCACTGCACCACCTAGCCTCCCCTCTGTGCAATTTTTAAAAGAGAAATTTTAAAGATTACATCCTAGTAATTAATAATATTACAAACAGATAATTATGTTTGCTAATTTTTTTTGTTTTCTCAGATACAAGGGGAAGCTCAGTATTGAGAGATCTGAAAATGGTCAGTGATAAAATTGGATCACTTGGATTAGGTAACTAAATTCTCCATTTTGATATGATGTTAAATTCGGTTATTTTTGGCATGGTATCTTTTAAAATAGAATTGAAATTTATAATCATCAGTTTGCCACTAGTTAAATTACACTGGTAATTTGCCTTTAGGGATAGATTAATGTAGGTGTAAGAGTCAGTAACCTTTAAAAAGGTGTATGCCAAATTTGAATTTATTTTCCCTGGCATCTGAGTGGAGAGAATATTCACTATTTATTAAGTTACTACTTTGTGCAGAACACTTATACTATGTAGTAAGGAAACACTGTGATACTTCAAGAATCTGTTATTCATTGGTCTGGTTACCCTTTTGTTGTTGTTTTTGTAAATTTTTTATTCATTTTAAACTTAAATATAAAGCAAGAAAAGAAAAAAAGAACATTTTCATGTACACAGGAGAACATAGGAGAGGATTTGTTAGAAAACAAATACCCATTTCAAGAAAACCTATATAATAAATACTACACATTGTTTTCAAAGCTACCCAGCTTTTCTTGGTTTTCATCTAGGTTTTCTTTTGTTCCCTGCTGTGTACTTTTTACTTTTTCCCTTCCCTACCTACCCTACAGAAGGCTACACTTAAATGCAGGCATATGTACATATACATAGATATCTATAAACATACACACATATACGTTCATATACATATATGTAAAACCATACTATGCATATTTCCACTTGTCATCTCTTTCTCTGGAGATGGATAGCATCTTCCTTCATTGGTCCAAATCTTTCCATGTTTTTCTAAATCAACCAGCTCATTATTTCCTACACAACAGTATTTGAACACAATCACATCCTATCTGAGAGATTGTCTGTGAAAGTTTCTTTCCAGTTTTCTGCATTCCTTCTATTTCTTGGTTACATTGGTTTTATTTATACAAGAAATTTTTAATTTAATATAATTGAAATTCATTTTACACTTCGATTTTGCTCTCACCTTATAATATAGTTTAAGATCTGATACTGCTGAATCTCCTTCTTTTACATCTTTTCTCCCTGGTTTCTTTGAAATTCCTTCCCTTTTCTTCTTCCAAATGAACTTTGATATTATTTTTTCTAATACAAGATAATTTTTTAGTAAGGTTACCCTTTTTTACTCCCTTCGTCCATTCTAACTACAATCCTCTGTGACTTAGCAAATGGTCTTTGAGAATTGCTCTGCCTACCCCCGCCCCCCAAAATAACATCACCTTGCAGTCAAGTCAGGGGATGAGCCTCTCTGAAATTAGCCAGGCATGGTCTTCAAACAGCATATATAGAGTCCATCGCGGGGCCCACTCTTGATGCCTTTTCAGTTTAATAGAACCTGTTGGAGCTTGTATGCTACTGAGATGGCCTTGAGGAAGCCAGGATGATCTCCGTATCATAATGAGGCCTTAGAGTGGGCCTTTTGGATGAGGTTGAGGGAAATAAAAATGCCAAATAATACAAATCACTGTTTTCATGGTGCTCATAATTTAGAGGAGAATCAAACATATCCACAAATAACTAACATAGTGTAATATATGATAAACAATTTATAGAAGTGAAAATAAAGTGCAGTGTGAAAGAGGAATCAAGGGAATCTCCTGGGAGGTAGGCCAAGAATATGAGTTCCTTGACAACAGAGCTTTTATTTTTGCTTTTCTTTGCATCCCCAGCATTTAGTATTGTACCTCACATATATTAAGCACTTAATTAATGCTTATTGACTACTGACTGACTGAAGGAGAGCTACTTTTTATTTCCCAAAACCTCTACTGATATGAAAATTCATTTAAAGGAACTGAATCAAAGACAAGGACATTGCTGTTCTTAATGGAAATCCTAAAAAATTTGAGAAGCATGACAGTGAATAGGTAATTTTTCACGGTCTAGCAATCGATATTAATTTACTGGTCGAGAACCCAGTTCCAAGGTAAATGGAACTAATTACCCAGTAAACTCTCTGGTAGATGTCTACTGCCTCAATAAATAAATAGTCTTTTTTTTTCTTATTTTATTTCATTATTATTAAATTGTCATTATTTTTCATTGCAAATGCATATTATTAAAGAACCTTTTGTGGACTGGGAACCCTAATATTATTTATAATATTATTTCTATGAGAAAATGTCTTTGGAGAGCCAAAAGACTGACCCTAGCTTCCTTGCTTTTCTTCAAATAAGATGCCACATTTCCTGATTCTCCCTGTATTTTCACTGGCTGTCTCCTATACCTGGAATGTTCTCACTCCTCATTTCTGCCTCCTGGCTTCTTGAAGACCTAGATAAAATCCCATCTTCTACAAGAAACCTTTCCTAAACCTTCTTAATACTAGTACCTTTATTCTATTGCTTTCCAATTTATCCTGCCTATATCTTGTTTGTGCATAGTTGTTTTCATGTTGTCTTCCCCATTAGACTGTGAGCTCTTTGAGAATAAGGACTATCATTTGCCTTTCTTTGTACTCTCAGTGCTCCATAGTGCCTGACACATAGTAGTTGATTAATAAATGTTTCTTGATTGACCTTAGGAATACCTTTGTGATTTGTTAATTGACTTGTCTGTGTAAAAAAAATTCTTTGTTAATAAATCCCAGATCTAATGGTTAGTTACAACCGGTTACTTCACTCATTTAAATGGCTATGTTATTACCACATTGACTCAACTATATACTCAACCATTCACCTCTGTTCCTTGTTCCCCAACACACATTGTTTAATTATATGTTAAATGATTCATATTGAATAAGGTTAGTTTCTTACAGCAGAAAAATATACCTCTGTGTGCTGCAAATGACCCCATATCTCTTAGCCAAAAGTTTCCAAAACTTAGTGCTAAAGAGGACAGCAAGGTGGGGTAGAGAGGGGGCAGTTGTGACTGTGAGACCTTTCCAATCTAACTGCACTTTCAGTGGTTGTCAAGATGGTCATCGCTTGTCTGTAAGAGGGCAAAATATGGCTAGCTACCTCGCTGTTTCTTGCTATCTACATCACCATACAATTGAAGACTGCTAACCCATACTCAGTTACCCATGTTACAGCTGTGGCAGCTATCGCTTCCTTCCTATGTCTGCATAATACCCTACACAATATCTGTTTGAAGTTTTGGTAGCAAGGTTAGGTCTTCTAGTTTGTGAAGAAGGCAAGGCCTATATTTGACTATGATGATAGTCAAATTGCTGCAAATGGAATGTGTCCCTGTCGCTGATGCTTTATTGGACAACCATTGAATATAGTCCCTGAGAGTCTTGATCCTGGGCTTTTGAGGCAGCAAGAATTTTGGTTGTGGTTATAACATGAAATCAAATACAGAACTTGCCTTCTCTATTCCACTAATTGTATTTTTTAATTGAAATTTTTCAAGAATTCATATTCTCCCCAATTAATCTTTATTATAATTTTCTTTATTGGCAGATTGTATTTGTGACATAGTTGTTCTTCTCTGATATGGGAATGTGTTTAAGGTTGTAAGGAAATTACTTATTTTTGGATGTGTTTCTGAATTAATAAATTAAAGTTTTTTCTAATGTGAAGTATTAGATAACAGTTTTTTCTTTTCATGGTATAAACATTTCTGTTATTGGAATGATTTATTTTTATTAGATGATTCTGCAAAATCCAATAATTTTAAAGGGAATATTTACTTTAGAATAATGTAGCTCTAAATAAAGAATTGTATGTATGTGAATATATGGATATGTATACATATGTATATTATGTTAAATACATATTTTTTAAATTCAGGAACTGGAGATGAAGAGGAGTACATGGATGACTTTAATAGGTAAGAAAAACATTTTCCAGGTAGGCAGATATATTTAAGTAAAAACATACATGTAAATAATTTCTGAAGGCATTTTCAAAAATGAAAAATAAATCCTATTTAGAATTTATAATTATAGTTGACTCCTATTTATTTTCCCACCAATGGAGATGCCAATAGAGGAATAGCTAATCCAAAACCTATTTATATTTGACTTCATAGGATGTTCTTAGATTTACCCTAATCAAGATTTATAGGCATAGTATAGAGATTCACTAAAATATAATAAGTAAAGTAAGACTGTGGTTGCTGTGAAGACCTTACATATGAACAAACTCAAAACTGTTAAGCACTCCTCTAAGATTTCTATTTTATTTCTCCTTCCAATTTAGTAGTCTGCTATCTTAACACCAACCCAGGCATAGACACCTGCTCTATTGTAACAAACACCCTATGGATCGTTGGGCCATACCATCTGTCCTGTAGCTGAACTTTTTTATCTGGGTTTCCTCTCCCAACTAGAATTTGAGCCCTTTGACAGCAATGACTGCCTCTTTTTTGTTCTTATATTCTCTGGATTTAGCACAGTGCTTTAACACATAGTAAATGCTTTAAAAATGCTTTTCCATTCCTTTCCAATACAACAACAGATCTCTCTCAAACCTTCCTTAAAGAGAGGTTATAGGGACAGCTAGGTGGCGCAGTGGATAGAACACCAGTCCTGGAGTCAGGAGGACCTGAGTTCAAATCTGGCCTCAGACCAAACACTTGACACTTACTAGCTCTGTGACCCTGGGCAAGTCACTTCACCCCAATTGCCTTAAAAAAAACAGAGACAGACAGAGAGGGTATAGTCAGTTTTGGGGTTTTTAAAAGGCTTTTGTCACATACAAAGTAAATATGAATAATGTAACATTAACATGGTTGACATGATAAAGAAGCATGTAAGCAGGTGCTTGTGTTGAGTTGCCAAACTTGAAGAAGAGATTTGTTACAAATAAATTTAAATATAATCGTATTTCTTAACCTAACATGTTTATCACATAAACGTGTAATTCACAGATTTTAATTAAAACAAATGTAGATGAGCTATTATAGAAATTTAATTAGATAAAGATTATATTTTTCTTATGAGAAAGTACATTTTTAAGAATATATATGAAGAATTTAGACTATTGATACATCTTCAACATATATGCATGTATATACATACATATACATACACATACACACACCCCATATATATAGAGAGAGTGTATAATGGATAATTTTTTTGGTCTAATTTCTTTGGTGTAGGGCACTGCATGGTAAGGAAATACCCACAACTAATGTAAATAAGCAGCTCTTGCAATTTATAGTTTTAGAGGGATATATGGTACATCCCTGAGAGGTTAAGTGACTTACCCAGTGTCTCATATCCTGTACATTACAGGTGAGACTTGAACTCAGTTCATCCATACTTTCCCACCAACCTTTTGTCTTTTATGCCACTCTACTTCTCAAAGGGTATTTAATATCTTTAATGAAACATTGCTCAATATATGTTACTCTGATTTTTTGTTTAAATGGTTAATTTTTTTTGCAATGAAAATTTTTATAGGGCAGTTATTATGAATGTTTTATCATCCTCACAATCCTTTTTTTTCCCTTCTCTTTCTGGAAATAGTACCATAAGTCATCGCTCAGAGAAAAGTGAAATAAGTATTGGAGAAGAGATAGAAGAAGATATTTCTGTGGAACTAGATGACATCAATATCAATGATAAAGTATGCTTTTATACATGCATGTTTTTATTGAATGACCTGCTTTTTCACAAAATGGATTTAATGGATTTGTAGGCTAGAGAAGCTTTATATATAGGTGAAGTTTGTTAATTTGTACTCTTGGGATACTTTCATTATGAAGGAACAGAAAAAGAAGGAAAAATAACTGAGGTAGTTTGACATGCACCCTAAATTTTGAGAAAGTAGAGTTCACTGGATTATGAACACTAGAGGTAGGATCCAAGGACTTAAAATGCTTCAAAGGAAGTCAGCCTAAGGTAAATTAGAGGTGCTCTAGGATAAAATTCCGATGACATGAAAACAATTCCAGTAAGAAGGAAAATATGTGATTTGTCTGAGGAGATTGGTGTGATTATACAGTTACAAACACCATCCAGCTTATGAATTTAAAAAAAAAAACCATACAGAAGATGAAAGCAAGGCTGGAGAACAATAGGTTTAAGTGTCACACAATCTTATAAATACAGTATTGGGAATGCTAAAGCTTATCATGAGCTGAAGTCAGCAAGGGAAGCTAAGAACAATCTAAAAGGGCTAGAAAGAAGGATCAAAGAAGGAATCGCTTGCTCGATGTGGATGGGATATAATAACTGACAATAGAGAGAAGGTAAAGCTACTAAATTTTTATTTTATTTTTGTTTTCTCTGCAAAGGAGAATGACCTTTATATTGGAAATGACAGAACAAAAATAACTAACAGAGTTGATGCCCAAGATAAATAAAGAAATAGTATGAGAGTACTTAGCTGCCCTTAATGAATCCAAGTCACCTTTTCTAGAAGAACTATGTCTATAGGTCTGGAAGAACTAGCATATGTGATTACTTAGCCACTGTCTGTGATAATGGAAAGATCATGAAAAATAGGAGACATGTCACAAGATTGGAAAAAGTCTAAAGTACCAATTTTTGAAAGAAGGGAAGAGGATTGAGTTGTTAAAAGTATAGACTAGTGAGCTTGACTTTGAGTTTTAGAAAATTCTGGAAGGGCTTATTAAAGAGATTGTTGGCAGATATTTAGAAAGGAATGTAGTGATTGTAAAGAGCCAGCATGGCTTCATCAAGAACAAGTTATTCCCTGTTTACCTCACTTTCCTTTTTTGACAGGATTACTAAACTATTAGATGAAGGGGAAATGCTGTGGATATAGTTTACCTAGAGTCTAACAAAGCTTTTGGTAAAATATCTCATGTTCTTTTTGTGGAGAGATGGAAAGATAAGAATCAGACAATAATATAGTCAGATGAATTCAGAAATGGTTGGATTGCTAGACTCAAAGAGTACTTATTAATAGTTCAGTGTTAATGTGGCAGGTGGTCTGTAGTGGAGTAACCTAAGGATTTGTCTTGATCCTGGACTGTTTAATAGTGTTTTTGTAAATTACTTGAATAAAGGTAGAGAATGATACGCCCATCCAGTTTTCTGATGGCAGTGCAAATGATAGTAAAGACATTGAATGACTGAGTTAGGATCCAAAAAGATCTTGAGAGACTAGAGCATTGGGCTGAATCTAATAAGATGAAATTCAGTAGGGATAAAGGTAGAGTCTTACACTTGAGTACAAAAAAATAATTCCACAGTTATACAGTAAAAAAGGAATGAGGAGACAGCTGTTCTGTTTTACTGGATTCAAGCTCAATTTTGTTAGCCAAAAAAAAACAAAAACCCAAAAACTCTTGGACTGCATTAGGAGGGAATCATAGCTTCCATGGATTGTAAAATGATAGTCCCACTCCACTTTGCCTTTGTCAGAATACACCTGAAGTATGGTATTTACTTCTGGACACCATGATTTAGGAGTGATATTTACTGTCTTAGTGACTGTAAAAGGGCAGCTATGATGAATCTTGAGCCCATGTCATATTCGAACCATCTGAAGGAATTGTGTATATTTTTAGCCTGTAGAAAAGAAAAATTAGAGGGGACATGATAGCTGTGTTCAAACATTTAAAGGGCTGTCTTGTAGAGGAAAGGATTAGTCTTATTTGGCCCCAGAGGATAGAACTAAGAACAATGCATAAAAGTTGTCAGGTGGCCACTTTAAGCCTGATGTCAGGAAAAACTTACTGAAAATTAGAGCTGTTCAAAAATAGAATGGACTGCCTTAAGAGGAAATGGCTTCTCTCTTCTTAGAGGTCTTTAGGTAGAAGCAAGATGACTAGTTGGCAGCTATGCTATAGTGGAAATTATTTTAAGGTATAGGTTGTACTAGTTGGCCACTGAAATCCCTTCCTACTCTCTGATTCTATGTTTATGTCTATTGTCAAATAATAGAGAAGTGAAATTTTGCTTCAAGTAATTTACATTTCAGCCATTCAGGTATCATTTTAAGAGTGTCTGATTGAGTAAATAGGAAAATTGAGCATATCAAATTTACTTCCTTTTTCCTTCCCAAATAAGTGCTACCTGAAGGTTTTCCCTTTTACCAGCCTTTTTCCAGTCCTCATCCTGCTTCACCTCTTTTCAGCATTTTGACAATGTAGACCTGTAACGTCAAACTCAAATAGAAATGGGGGCCATTAATCCTAACATAAGGATCAGTCCTTGTGGAATCATATTGACTTACTTGTAAAATATAATATATATTTTTTTAATTGTATTTTTGTTTTATTAGATGTTTCCAAATTACATTTTAATTTGGTTTGGGCCACACTCCAGAGTATTGTGGGTTATGTTGCATGTTTAACATGTCTGATGTAGACCATTGTCTCCTCCTGGATGCTCTCTCCTCTGGATTTTTATGGCACTGCTCTGTCATGGTTCTCTTCCTGCCGTATAAACCAATCCTTTTGGTTGTCTTTGTAGGTTTATCTGGCATATCACACCTTCTGTGGCTTTGCCCTTAGCCCCATCTTTTGTTTGTGTATTCTTTCTTGGTGATCACATCACTATGGGTTTGTCATCTCTATCCAGATGTATATCCAGGTGTATAGCTGTGTAATCAACTTTCATCTGTCTCTTAGGTTCCTGTCCTGCATCTCCGGTTATTTGCAGGATAATTCTTTTTTTTTTAATAAGCATTTATTTATTTTTTTAGGCAGTTGGGGTTAAGTGACTTGCCCAGGGTCACAGAGCTAGTAAGTGTCAAGTGTTTGGTCTGAGGCTGTATTTGAACTCAGGTCCTCCTGACTTCAGGGCGGGTGCTCTATCCATTGCGACACCTAGTGGCCCCAGGATCCTTTACGCAACCTCAACAAATGTCCATTTATTATTAATTAACATTTGTTGAACCTTTCATTTTTCTAAACTTATTTTTATCACCTAGTATTCCTTGATATCAACAAATCATTTGTTATGAGCTACTGTCTCTATTCTCTTCCCCTAGTTGTTTTTGATTGTTGCCTTTTTCTTTGAATGGCTGTTTTCTGCCTTCATAAAAAAACAGTTCTTTATTCTTGTAGATCACACAAAATCATCTTTTAAACAAATTTCTCCTATTGTCTTCATTGATTTGATTCTGTGGCTTATGTACCGTTCCTGACAGATGTAAGACTTAGGTAAATTATTCTACCTTATTTGATAAAGTATGATCATATTAATATTAGCATATTCTCAAATGATGTTTGAGGAAAAAGTCATTCATGATAATGAAATCTGAAAGGTATGTTGACCAATCTTAAATGAATGAATTAGCATTACTATATGCAGGCACTGTGATAAGTGCTGAAGATACAGATATAAGCAAATAAGACAGTCTCTCCCCTCTAGGAACTTAAATTCTAATGGAGAAAGATAACATACAAAGGGGAGCTATAAAGTGGGGGCAGGGGAAGGTAGAAAGGAGAGAGTTTAGGTTTTGAAAGGTGGGAGATATGAAAGATGGCCAAATTCCAGGTTGACTTGGTTTGAAAATGACCAAGAAGTGGTATAGTGTCATGGTTCCAGAAAAGATAAGGTGAAAATTTACTTATCAGAGCCCTGGGTCTAAGAGGCGGATTCCAAATTCCTTTAGAAAGATGTTGAGAATGGCCAGAATACAGACAGCATGATTTGGAAATGGGAGGAAAAAAAAAATGGGAGGGTTCTGTTTCAACTATACATGTGTTTCTCCTCCATGACACTGATTTAACTTGATTTTAACTGTATTTGATAACCACTCACAAGTTTTAAGTTATACCTTAGATTCGATTTTTACTTTGGTCTTTCTCTTACTGGAGGTTTTTCTCACAAAGTCTGTATGCCCACTGACTAGGTATCATAGAGGGGATTCCTTACTGTTAAGGTGTAAATTGGACCATTTCACAAAGTAGACACCTAATTTTTATTGACTGAATTGCTAGATAACTTCTTAGGTCCCCTAATTCTGACATTGTTTGATCTTAAAAAAATCATTGGTAGAGGTTTTAAAATGTCCATTTTTCTCCTGATTTTAATGAATTTCAGTAAAATTTAGGATGTAGGTAGAGGTTCAGAGAGATGTGCTTGTACTGAGTGAAGTCTACAATAGATACAAATAAGACCAATTCGCAGTGATATTTTTTGGACCATTTTCTCCTTTTGTTGGTCTTACTAAAGTAACTCTTAGCCATATTTTCTTAAAACTTTTCACTTGTAGCTTATTTGAGATTCTGATCATTGTTTTAATCTCAGCTCTGCCTTTTAGGCACTGTGTAAAACCTAACCCAAGTCTTCTAAGTCTCAAATTTTCTTATCTATCAAGTGACTAATACTATTAGTCTATTAGAATTATTGTAAAAACCAAATGATGTAATGGATTTGATGAGCTTTGTTAAATAAATACTTTGTAAATGATAATTTTAAAATTTATTATTGTAATAGTTATTTTAGTGAGCTAATTTTGTTTTCTCTTTCTTTTTACAAAAAGCTTGAAGACCTCACACAGGACATTACTGTTTCTCAACTTAGTGATGTTGCAGATTACCTAGAAGACGTTGCATAGACATGAAAGAAGGAGGTATTCTAATAAAATGGACTAAGGACTCAAAACAGTTACATTTCTTTCAGACAATCACTCTTTGGAATGTCTGCTTCCTGTTTGTGCCTTGTGTTTCAAAAAGACTGCAGATAAAAAAAAAACTTACCATTTCACAGCATATACTAAGTGAAATAGTACCAATTTGAACCTGTGTGGAGGATTTATTATTGTTCATTTGGTTGAAATATGCCTTTCACTGTGGAAGTTGGATTTTCTCAGCACTTGCCCATTGCAGGCAGTGGACACATGGAATTACCAGTGTTACAGAGAGTATAATAGAAGAAATCAACAAAACTATACCTTCACACAAAATTGTGTATGAATGAGTGTGTGTGGCATTATGATGCTTTTCAAATACAGTTTTTGGCCTCAAAAGCAAGGACATCTAGAGTTAAGGCTTATCCACTCAATTATACTTTGTTATTGGTAAAGTCATTCTGAGATTAGTTATGAGTTATGTGATAAATCTTTATTGCTGAGATACATCAGTATAAGTTAGGTTTGGTATATCAGCTTTGACTTTATATTTCCTTCCTTTTGGAAGGCTTGTTAGACCATTAAGGTTATCTTAAATTACTCATCTGTCTGCTAATTAATTTTATTTTATAGACAGCTAATAAGTGGTTGAAGCTTTGAGTTCCTAGAGATGGACAGTATCACAGTCAGGTTACTGTTGATGAGTCCTTGTCAGTGTGAGAATTTTTGATTTACAAAAAGAAAAATGTTCACTACAGTTGCATTTTTTTAAAAATTTGCCTTCTAAGGTACCCAAACAAGCCTGAAACCACTAAGCAGCTCTTCCTTTTTTGCTTCAGACCTGTAAGTTGACATCTAAGTTTAAATCCAAATTGGAAAACAAAATTAGTGATGGCCTAAGACCACATGAATATTCAGTTTCAGACAGAAGCTTATACTGTGCATGTTTTCATTATAACTCTATAAAAACAGGGTCAATAGAAATGCTGACAGTTTTGTGTATACTGTCATGCATAAATGCTGCTATTTATAGGTCATTGACATTTGTAATATTAAAGTCTTTTAAATTGCACTTGAGCATTGTTAAAAATAATAGGAAATGATAAATGCAGGTGAATATAAGCAGCTATACATTTATGTTAAATTTTTATACTTTTTTTATTTCAATTAAATTATGGTTATTTTTTGTCACCTTAATAGAAGCAGCATGCTAAACCAAATACATTAATGTAATGATGAGAGGAGATAATACATAGTTTACATAAAGCCAACTGGTACTCTCACATTGGCTCAAATATTTTAAAATAATAATTCATTGAGTTTTTAGTATAAAAGGTGATAAATACTTACAGACTTTTCATTTGATGATAATTATGATATTAAAATCTGGAATTGATTGTTTTTTGTTTACTAAAAATAAACCAAACAAGAATACGGCAAAATTAAAAGGGAAAAAAAAAAACCATTGATGATGTTCAGATCTACCCTAGATTTATAAAGCAGTATCTCAAGATAGTTAAGGCCATTATATTTTTGTGTATTTGAATCATATCAAGAGGACCTTTAAATGGTAAACATCTTGTATGAAGAAACACTCTGCTGCAAAACACTGCCCAAATTACTTATTACAAAACACCTTTCATGCTTTGTGTAACATCCAAGAAACAATGTGAAATTTAAATGGCTGTTGTAAAGTGTAACGTTTTTGTTCTGCCCACTTGTGAATTGTTTCAAATGTATTTTTTTAAATCCTGATTGAAGATAATGAGATTTCAATGAAATGTTTGAAACTTTGTTGCAAGATGTGACCTTTATAAAAATTATAAAACCAATTATAAATTGTTGAATAGTAGCATCTGAAATGTGACATTTTCCTGTTAGAGAATCTGAACTTCAGATGGTATTTGGGAAAATGTGGGAGAAAAATACCAAATATGAGATTATTTTAAGATGCTAGTACTATATGCATTTTTGAGTAACTTTTAACAGCTTAAAATTCAACTATAAGATAAAGCTATGGTGCTAGATGGAGTCATTCACCCTGTTTGAAATAGATTTACCTATCTAAATAAGGATTAAGCTTTAAGGTTTAGAATGGTAGGCCAGAAGATTTTGAGTGTGAAGGGGTTTTTTGCATGCATGTATATGGAAATATCCCAGGTAGCATACTTTTTGGAATATATTTTTATGAAGTGAAACCAGTATTCTGCAGTGGCAGTTTTCATATTTCAGGTCCTTCATTAATTGACAAAAAAATAAAAGTGCTTTTTTCTTCTTTCCTTCATGTTCTCTCATCTTTATACGTTGCTGTTATGTCATTAATTGGGTATTTATAAGCATATCAAAAAGCTCATTAGGCAAAGGTAGATAATGTGTATAGTACATGTGTTCTTTATATTAAACAATTTTGAAATAACTGTGTGAATTGAAGAATATATTTCACATATTTCTCCCATTTCCTGAACACTTACCACCTCAAAATTTCCAGATTCATTAGGCCCATTCCTGGTCAGATTCATGTAAAGCCAAACTAAAAACTAACTATACTAGACAGAGTACGTCTCCATGCATTCGCGGTAGCTGTTTATGTATATGAGATTGTCCCACCATGCTGCCATATATCATTTTACTTTAGGAGGAAAGAAAAAGAAATATTCTGTGTCTTTTTTCCTCCTTGCATCTTTTGTGTAAAGCATTCTGCTGGGCCCTGGGTAGGATTCATGGAAATAGCATTATTGTGCTTATTTTGTGTGTTCTTATGCTTTCATCATGTGATCCTAAATTGAAAGCTAGAAAGGGACCATAGAGGTCCCATTTTACATTTGAGGAAACTGGGTCAAAAAAAAAAAGTGACTTGAGTTTCTAACTTAGATCCTCTGTCCCCAGCATCTTTTCCTCTCTACCCTGTTGTCTGTCATACCGATATACCTTCCCTTAATCCTCTCACCTCATTCTGTTTTTCTTTCTTCTAGTACTGTAGTTTTCATGTAGAAAAATATTAAACATTGCCCTTACCTCTTCCCTGTCATGGCTTCCATCTTACCTTTGGTAAAGCTATTAACTGGACTTGTTACTTCTGACGCAAGTCCTAGGGCAAGCTGGTGTTAGTCGTTCATCATCAAGCTGTGTGCCCCATGTTGTCCTTGGATGTCTGAGGATCTAACAAAGGCTAATGCCAGCAAGAATGGCAGAGAGAACATTGCTACTGCCTGGGAAAGCTCAGAGGCCTTGGTTGCCTATAGAATAAGATATTACCAGTACCTTTATCCTTTCCAGGGAGTGGCAACATGTCACTGTTAGCAGTGACAGTGTTCTTAGAAGCTCTGTTTCTTTTTCTTTGCCACCACCATCAGCAGTAAGAGCCCTACACTGGGACTATGATAAGATCTCTCCCCACTCCGTGTTTTGATTTTCTTAGGAGCAAAAAGGAGTCCGCATGAGAGACATTGGAGATGGGCTGGAAAACAATGAAAAGAAGAATTGCTTTGAAGCTACAACCTCAGGGGCTGGAGCATTTGGGAGAAAAGAACACAGACTGAATAAGGTGCCCATGTGCACAAAGATAACCCATACAAAAGATGTAACTCTGGTAGGTACACCTGCCTGGCTCCAGCTAAACCTTTGCCAGTTGGTAAGCTTTTCTTATTCTACTTGGGCTTTGGCACATGTCCAGCCTTTCTTTCTGCCATCTATATGTTGTGCTTGACCTATAACATTTCCATTTGCAGATGCTAGTATTTTAAGATATTTTTCATTTGTAAATGACCAAATATTTGCATTTTATGAGATCATTTTCCTTGCAAATGTATAATTTTCAAATGTCCTTTGCATTCTCTAGTAATTTACTTTTCTAGATACATTTCCATTTCATAGGATTTAAATCTGTAAGAGAACTTAAGAGGTCATCTGCTCTGATAGAAGAGGCAACTAGTGGTGCAGTGAGTAGGGCACTCTACCAGGAGTCAGGAAGACTTGAATTCAAATGTGGCCTCAGAAATTTAGTAGGACCCTGGGCAAGTAACTCAAAATTATCCTTTTTACTTTCCATGATCCTCTCCATTTCTTGTTTGGTCATAAACTCTTATCTATAGGTCTGACAGGTGAATTTTTCATTGCTCCCCTAATTTACTTATGGTATCCCTTTAAGTTGGAATCATGTACCCATTTTGACCTTATTTTGGTATATAGTGTGAGATGTTTCTACCAAACTGCTTTCCAGTTTCCACAGCAATTTTTGTCACATGGTGAGTTCTTGTTCTAAAAGCTTGGATCTTTGGGTTTCTTGCACACTAAATTCCTATGGTCATTTACTACTGTGTATTGTGTACCTAATCTATTGCACTGATCTACCTCTATATTTCTTAGCTAGTACCAGCTTGTTTCAATGATTACCACTTTGTAATGTAGTTTGAAATCTGCTACTGCATGGCCATCTTCCTTCACATTTTTTTTCCATTGGTTTCCTTGATCGTTTGTTCTTCCAGATGAATTTTATTATTTTTTTTATCCTCTATAAAACAAGTCTTTAGTAGTTTGGTATAGCACTGAATAAGTAAATTAATTTAGGCAGAATTATTTTTATTGTGTTGGCTTGGTCTGCCTATGAGCTGTGAATATTTCTCCATTTCTGTTTAGATCTGTCTTTATTTGTGTGAAAAGTGTTTTGTAATTGTGTTCATATAGTTCCTGGGTTTGTCATGGCAGGTAGACTTTCAAGTATTTAATACTGTCTGCCATTATTTTAAGTGGAATTCTATTTCTGTCTCTTCCTGCTGGGTTTTGTTGGTAATTTATAGAAATACTGGTGATTTATGTAGGTTTATTTTATATACTGAAAGTTTGCTAAAGTTACTAATCGTTTCAACTAGTTTTTAGTTGATTCTTTAAGGTACTCTTAAGTATATCATCATATCATCTGCAAACAGTAATAATTTTATTTCTTCTTTACCTGTTTTTATTCCTTTAATTTTTTTTGTGTCTTATTGCTATAGGTAGCATTTATAATACAATATTGAGTAATATTGATAATAATCGTTATCATTGCTTCACCCCTGATTGTATTGGAAAGGTTTCTAGTTTATCCCCTTCACTTAATAATGCTTGCTCTCCGTTTTAAATAGATACTACTTACCTTTTAAGAAAAGCTCCATTTATTCCTAATCTTTGTAACATTTTAAAATTGGAAATAAGTATTCTATTTTATCAAAAGTTTTTTCTGTATCTAAGATGTAATCATAATTTTTGTTATTTTTGTATTTATATGGCCAGTTATATTTATAGTTTTCCTGGTATTGAACCAGTTCTGCATTCCACCTCATCACTGTATGACAATCATGATGTAGTCTCCTTAATAGTTTACTTACTTTATTCAAAAATCTTGCATTAATAGTTATTAGGAAAATAGGCCTGTAGTTTTCTTTCTCTGTTTTTGCTCTGCTGGGCTTAAGTGTCAAAATCATATTTGTGTTCTTTATAATTTCTCAAAATATGACATGTAAGCCCCCCTCCCTTATTTTTTTTTTTTTTTTTTTTTGGTAATGGCTTTCAGGTAGTTCTAGTAATTTTTAAATTATTTTTTCTCAATCTATTTTCCAAGTTAGTTGTTTTTCTTTTTGAGCTTTTTCCCTCTTATTTTTTCATTCTTTTGATTTTGTTTTATTGTTTTTTGATGTCTTATGGACTCATTAGGTTCTACTTAACCCAATTATAATTTTTAAGGAATTATTTTCTTAAGTGAGCTTTTGTACCTAGTTTTCATTTGGCCAATTCTGCTTTTTAAGGAATTTTTCTTTCAGTGGATTTTTGTGCCTCTTTTACCATTTGGCCTATTATTTTATTTTTTTAAGGTGTTATTTTCTTCAGTGTTTTTTGTTTTTTGTTTTTTTTGAGTGTGAGCCTTCTTTACCTCCTTTATATTTGTGCCTCTGTTTTTATAATTTTTATTTGCATTGTTCTTATTTCTTTTCCCAATTTTTTCCTTTACTACTCTGATTTAAAATAATATTTTTTAGTTGCTCTTTTTAAAAAATCACTTTCTTTAGCTTTTCCAGGAATTCTTGTTGGGCTTATGTCCAATCTTTTTTCTTTGAGGCTTTGCTTTCAAATATTTTCCACATTGTTGTCATCTTCTGGGTTTGTCCCTTGATCTTCCCTGTGAACATAGTAGCTTTTTTATGGGCAGGTTCTTTTTTGTTGTTTGCTCGTTTTCCAAAGTGAAGAAACCTGTTTCTTCACTTTGAACTTTATGTTAGAGTTGGGCTCTGCTCACTTTGTAAGGATGATGTGGGGCCCTGTCCAAAGCTTTAAGGTTTTTCTTGCTGCTGTTTTCATAGCTGATTCTGGGGGATCTTTTAAGTTTGCACTGCTTCCAAGGGAGTATGAACCAGGAAAAGTGGTTACTATTCTCCTAATTTGCACTCTGGACCCAGGAAAGGCCCTTTCCCTTTCACGCTCAGTTGCCAGCGTCCAATCCAGCTCGCAGTGCTAGCACAGGGATGCCCTGTAATTTCTTTCTGACCAGTTGTTCAGTCCCTTTACTGTCTTTAGACTCAAAGCTCCTAAAGCTGCTGCTGCTGCTGCTTCTATTGCTGCCATGGCCTTCAGGGACCATAGCTGGTGTTGCCCCTGCCCTGTGCTCTGGGATAGCCCAGTGTCACAGACCTCTCCTTCTGACTTCCTAGGTTGTCATGGCCAGGAAAAACGTTTCCCTCCCACCTTTTGTTTGCTGTGCTGTTCCAGAATTTGATTTGACAGATTATTTTAAAGTTATTTGGAGGGGAATACTGAGACAGTACAGCTGTAATATTACTCACTATACTTCTTGGCTTTGTCTCCCATTTCATGTCTTCATTCAAGTCTTGTTTAGTATTTATAATTGTTACCTTCACTTTTGATTTTTGATATAAGGTTGTTTTTATCATTTATGTTGTTGAAGTTATTGGCTTTATTTTTTGGCTTAGCTTAGCCAGCTCTGCAATCAGTTCCTTTAGATCTTTCCATGCTTTTCCATATTCATCATATCCATAATTTCTTACGGCACAGTAATATTCCATTTCATTGACATACCACAGTTTGTTTAGCCATTCCCCAACTGATGAGTATCTACTTTGTTTTCAGTTATTTGCTATCACAAAGTAGTGCTGCTATAAATATTTTAGTGTATGAAAGGACTTTCTTCTCATTAATAGCTTCATTGGAGTTCAGTCCATTGTGCTAGAAATTGGTTCCTCTTTAACTCCCCCTCCCTCCCACCCAGAAAAGCCCCCTAAGTCCTCTGGGT